GGTGGGTCTCCCCAGTCCAGCACCAGTTACACACCAGTGTGCCCAGTCCGGATCGGTCCATCCCCAGAGCCGGACCAGCCTCTCCCCAGTCCCAAACCGGTGTCCCCCATCCCAGATCGGTCCATCCCCGGTCCCACACCAGTCTCCCCAGTCCCAGATCGGTCCATCTCCCCAGTCCCAGATCAATCTCTCCGCAGTCCCAGATTGGTTCAGACCCAGACCAGTCTCCCCAGTCCCAGATGGGTCCATCACCAGTCCCACCACCAGTCTCCTGAGTTCCAGATTGGTCTATCCCCGGTCCCAGACCAGTGTCTCCCCAGTCCCAGATCGGTCCAGACCCAGAACAGTGTCCCCAGTCCCAGACTGATCCAGACCCAGACCAGGGTCCCCAATCCCAGATTGGTCCATCCCCAGTCCCAGATCAGTCTCTCCCTAGTCCCAGACTGGTCCAGACCCAGATCAGTCCCTCCCCAGTCCCAGACTGGTTCAGACCCAGACCAGTGTCCCCAGTCCCAGATCAGTCCATCCCTGGGCAGTTGCCTCCCGGATCAGCCCCAGGTCCCGGATCGTTCCCTCCCTGGCTTCCCTGGCACCGCCAGTCGTCCCCCAGCTGGGACCAGTAGCCCCAGTCCAGCCCAAGCGTACCCAGCTGGGGCCACTGGCCGAAGCAGAGTGTAAAGGACCATCTGCAGCCTGATTTCAGAGGGCTTTTTTGGGATTACCAGATTACACACACATTTCTTGGAAGAAAACCATAATTACTCCCATGTGGGTAATACAGAGAAATGGGAAATGTATGGAACTGCACAGATGGTATAATAAAAATAATGATCTAAGGTACACAACCTTTACTGTCATTTCTAATAAATAACGGCTGTAATAGCCCTTGTTTTTAAACACCCGACTGATCCTAATCAGATCCCCCCTGTGAGATTTGGGGGGAGCCAAAAACCCCTTTTGCAATCACATGTGGTTAGGAGGGTTATTTATTTTTTTTTTTTTTCCCCCAGTCCCAGATCAGTCCATCTCCCCAGTCCCAGATCAGTCCATCTCCCCAGTCCCAGAGCGGTCCAAACCCGGACCAGTGTCCCCAGTCCCACATGGGTCCATCGCCAGTCCCACACCAGTCTCCTGAGTCCCAGATTGGTCCCACACCAGTCTCTCCACAGTCCCACATCGGCCCGTCCCCAGTCCCAGATCTATCTCTCCGCAGTCCCAGATTGGTTCAGACCCAGACCAGTCTCCCCAGTCCCAGATGGGTCCATCACCAGTCCCACACCAGTCTCCTGAGTCCCAGGTTGGTCCATCACCAGTCCCAGATTGGTCCAGACCCAGACCCAGACCAGTCCTCCCACAGTCCTAGATTGGTCCATCCCCAGTCCCAGACCAGTGTTTCCCCAGTCCCAGACTGATTCAGACCCAGACCAGGGTCCCCAGTCCCAGATTGGTCCATCCCCAGTCCCAGATCAGTCTCTGCTTAGTCCCAGACTGGTTCAGACCCAGACCAGTCCCTCCCCAGTCCCAGACTGGTTCAGCCCCAGACCAGTGTCCCCAATCCCAGATCAGCCCATCCCTGGGCAGTTGCCTCCCGGATCAGCCCCAGGTCCCGGATCGTTCCCTCCCTGGCTGCCCCGGCACCACCAGTCATCCCCCAGCTGGGACCAGTAGCCCCAGTCCAGCCCAAGCATACCCAGCTGGGGCCACTGGCCGAAGCAGAGCGTAAAGGACCATCTGCAGCCTGATTTCAGAGGGCTTTTTTGGGATTACCAGATTACACACACATTTCTTGGAAGAAAACCATAATTACTCCCATGTGGGTAATACAGAGAAATGGGAAATGTATGGAACTGCACAGATGGTATAATAAAAATAATGATCTAAGGTACACAACCTTTATTGTCATTTCTAATAAATAACGGCTGTAATAGCCCTTGTTTTTAAACACCCGACTGATCCTAATCAGATCCCCCCTGTGAGATTTGGGGGGAGCCAAAAACCCCTTTTGCAATCACATGTGGTTAGGAGGGTTATTTATTTTTTTTTTTTTTCTTAACTAAGAAACAAGTTACGGTTTGCAGGGGGAGTTTGCATCGCCATCCCCTGTGACACCAATCCTGCCTTCCGACACCAGGCAGAGACCTCCTCAGTAAAAAATAGTTGCTTTTGTATAAATTCTGGCAAATTCAGGATATTTTAAAGGGGCTTCGTAAAATCAAGCCTCTCCATCCTCTCTACGAGCTAATTGCGACCCTGCTACCCAGTGATCCCATCACCTCTGGCGTCATTTTGTCTCCTTAAGGTCATGGGCAGCCTGGAAAGGTGACATCTCAGTTCTCTGGGGTGACTGGGATT